AAAATTTCTGCAAAAGCAGATGAACAGTCGGCTGCTCAAAATTGCCATTTTGACAAAATGTACTGCCGACCGACAACAAAGAATGCCGACCGGCAATATACATTGCCGATGGCAACAAAACGGACAGCTGTCTATCAGTTGTCGATGGGATGTGGTGGAAAGATGATGACTTACGTCTTGCCTACACAGACGAGGACTAGGGGCAGAATCATCCTGATGACACTTGGTACACCGAGGAGGTTGACCATATGACCCGGAGTGGGTGATACTTCAAGCCCCTACATTTGGACCAGCCAGAGGCGTCCGGAAAGGACAAAGAAGTGAAAAAGCAGAAAGAAAAACTACTAGAGGAGGAAGTTGGGCTATAACAACTAAAGAAAATTCAAGCAGACATCTCCATCTGGGACTGCTTATGGCCTCGAGGGGGTATAGACAGGTCGCCCTTTCAGCCATGGACATGGCGAAGCTTTCAATTGATACAACGCCGAGTAGTTGGCAGGGTTGGTTTTCCCGGGTGGAGCTTCACCAACTCTAACCTTCACAGACAAAGAACTAGCGCCTGAGGGCTCTGATCATAACAAGCGGCTCTATATCTCTGTGGAGTGTAAGGAGAAATGGATACCGGTGGTCTTGGTTGATACATGATCTGCAATCAATATATATCCGTCGCGAAAGGGATATGTTATCGGGTTGAAGTCCGCAGATTTCGCGCCAACAGCCCAGGTAATTCAGGCTTATGATAACACTAGTCGGGAGGTGATGGGGACCGTATGGATCAAGACTAAGATTTGCCCGAGGCAGCATGACATTGAGTTCCGTGTCTTGGATGTTCTAGCCACCTTCAATCCACTCCTTGGGTGACCTTGGTTGCACCGGGTGAGGGTTGTCTCTTCCACCTTACAACAGATGCTGAAGTACCCCCACGGGAAGGGGGTGGCAATTGTTTTTGGGAACTCGTCCATCCATCCACTGCTAGAGGTTTCTAAACCAGTTCTGGAGATTGAGCACGGCGTGGAGGATGTGTTTTTGTCAGGATTCACCTTAGCTAAAGCCCGGGTTGTACAGGATATGCTAGCGGTTAATGAGGGACTATATGTCAGTGCACAGTCTGTCTACCTCTTGAACAAACTTCAACACATGCTTGGAATGGGACTAGGACGGAGTGGCCAGAAGGCGTCACTACATTGGCCGAAGTGCCACATAACCCATATACCTTTGGTTTAGGTTATCTGCCTACCAAAGAGGATTGGGCAAGGAAAGGAAGGGAAATGGCAGGAAAAGCCAGGGCTAAGCAAGCCGGGAAGCACTACAAGTTGGTGACAGACCTATCCAAGGCACCCTGAACAGACGCTTTGTCCTGGAGGGGGAAGACTTCCTATTTTGTGGCTTTCCAGAGCCAGCGCTAAATTCAGAGAAGCGACGTTTGCCTGGCTTTGAGATCTTTTTTGACCTTCAGTTATCAGGGGATGAAGTTGCGGAAGAGCAGACACACCCACTAGCCGAGGCTGAGCAGTGCAAGGAGGAAGAGTCCAAGAGCACAGAAATTGAGATGGGGGTAGCACTGGTTTGTCTCCTCTCAGATCCTCAGATCGTACCAGAGTGCTTGGAGGATAACTTCTCAGTTTCCATGATTGGGGATCAGGCGGCTGTGGGCCCATCTCCTAGCATTCTCGATGCATCCATCGCACCTTCCCTCGTTTGGCAGTATGAGGAAGGCTTTTTGTCAAGCAGTTTCGGGTCAGGTAGTGAGCCGGAATCTGATTCCACAGAGTCTGTGGAGTCGGAATCAGATTCCAGCTCTTCTGAGTCTTAGTCCGGTATTCCTGGCGGTGATAACCCAGATGCCACAATCCTGTCCAGGTCATCTTTTTCATTTTCCTTTGAGTCTGTTGTAACTGAAGGATCAGATGAACTGGATGTTGTTAATGAGAATGGTGCTGTTGTGGCTTTTGAGTACTTCTTCTATGCCTTTAGTTTATTGCATTAATCAGGACTTTCAAAATTTTGATGAAAACGACGAGGAAGAAATTCCTCCCGTTTTGAAACATTTGCTTGATCAAGAGCAGGATGGGTTTGTAAAACCTTTGGTTGATGAAATCACCTGAATTAATGTTGGTACTGAGAAGGACCCGCGGCTGGTCCAGATCGGGTCCACATTATCTTCGGAGGAACGCAAGCACTGAGTCGTTTTATTAAAAGATTTCAAAGATGTTTTCGCGTGGTCCTATGAAGACATGCCTGGAATCGATCCTGAGATTGTACAGCACCGGATCCCTCTTGACCCAGAGGCCCGACCTATTAAGCAGAAGGTCTGAAGGATCCGCCCAGACTGGGCTCTAAAAGTCAAAGAAGAGATCACCAAGCTGATCGACACAGGGTTCCTGTTAGTATCTGATTATCCAACTTGGTTGGCTAATATAGTTCCGGTGTCGAAGAAGGTGGCAGAATTCGGGTATGTGTGGACTTCAGAGACTTGAACAAAGCCAGTCCGAAGGAAGACTTTCCTTTGCTGCAAATCGACGAATTAGTGGACTTCACTGCTGGGCATGTGCTGCTCTCATTCATGGGTGGGTTTTCAGGCTACAACCAGATTTTGATGGCACCTGAAGACAGGGAGAAGACTGCTTTCACCACCCCGTGGGGAACTTACTGTTATAGGGTGTTGTCGTTCGGTTTGAAGAATGCTGGGGCCACATATCAACAGGTTGTGTAGACCGCGCAGAACTCCGCTCCGCGCGTGGGGGGCGTGAATTTGTAGTTTTAGCTACTACAGTTCGGACTCCTATCACAGTTCTGAATCTAATCTTACAAAGTGCAATGTAAGACTGATAAATCACCAAAGAGTCCAAATCCGACAAATCGTTTTGGAAAATCGATTTTAATCAAGAAGCGCCAAACATGGACTGCTTTGCTAGATTTCAGAGTCGCCACCTAAATATTTTATTTTGGAAAATTTAGGAAATCCTAACTCGTGCCTAAGGCCAGGTGTCCGTCATCACCAAAGTTGCCTCGGCTCAGGAACTTGGATACGAGAGGGGAAGGTCATGCAATGAGCACCCCCGCTCGCCCGATCAAAGGATCAGCCTCTACTAACATGATATGTTGTTTCGAAAACAAATGCGCTCTTATTCTGGTTAATTAGCAAATCTTACTACGTGATGCGCACAGCATACAAGTATAGACTAAATCACCTAAATTGAAACAAAACATCTCATGTTTGCTTGTTTGAAAATGGTTTGAAGGTGCTACTCGCAAGTAGGCTAAGGCGCGGATTTTGCCACCCTCAAGTGGGCTTAGAAAAACATGATTTTCCACTCTCAAGTGGGCTTAAAACGCACATTTTGATGAATTTTTCCAATTCAAACAATCCAACCTTCATCCACAGGCATTCATGCAGTTAAACACATAAGCAGTTAGCCTCATAGCAAGTATGCTTTCATGGCAACATACACATCTCATTCAATATGCACTACAGGAAAATCGAGATTTTGCGGCGTTTTTAAAACGCCGCAAAAAGTCTGAAAAACGCCGCAAAAAGATAATACGTCGTTTTAAAAATTCGTCGCTGATACGGCCGCCGTCATATCTTTGTGGCGTTTTGAAAATGCCACTATAGACTTTAGACAACGTTTTTTAACAGCGTCACCAATTCTTTGCATCCGTTTACTATTTCCGTCAGAGGAGTTAACATGACGTAATTATGACGTCATTTTGCGACGTTTTTTAAAAACGCCACCTTTACTTTTTTTTCCAAAAAAAAATCAAATATATGATATTTTAACTTCTGTTCAAAGCAAACCTTTTTCCTCAAAAAAATAAATAAATAAATAAATAAATAAATAAAAATAAAATAATAATAATAAATAACAACCAACCTATAATCCATCACCATTTTCAAAACATATACCATAATATGAGTCAATATTCCAATTTTCCATAACCAAAAAAAAAAACCTTAAAGCACATTATGTTAATACAATAAAAATTGCTAATACTCTCATTTTAATAAAAAAATAATAATATTAATATGGAGTGTGCTTTGCTATTTAGCTTCAAAGGTGCTCTCTCCTCAAAAAACTTTGCCTCCAACTCATCATGTTGGCTCTGCAATGATACAACAAAGCATTACACTTCAATACCCCCAATAAATATATAATTGAAAAAAAAAATTATTTATATCATAAATCAACCTCAGAGGCCACAACCTCACTCTTGAACCATACACGCCGATAAGTTTTTCATATATTTATATCAGAAATTAACATAATTTACTCTAAAAGTGATAGTATGTAAACAAGCAGATAAAAAGAACCAATGCTTCATTTTCCCCTCATTATAACACCCAGATTCGTAAAATTCACATTCCATTAATTGTCTGATCCCTATTTACCCTACAAACATTGCATGTGATCCAAAATCTAATTCAGGAAGTGTGATACCCAATAATACCTGTGGAAAAAGCCTATTATAACACAGAAAATGAAATACAATTCGTGTTTATTGTGAAATGGTGTCAAATGAAACCTGTCAAGCTCACAAGACTAACCATCCTATTTTTATGTGCCAAATGACTCAATCAAGTGGGCTTATAGAGCATAAATATAATTCAACATAATCAGCTTATCATATAAATATGAGACAAATTGCAACATTCATTTAACCTCAAGTAACTAAAATTGACTAAAGAAATTCAAATTTGTAAGGTAAAGAAAAAATTTCCTAAGAACCAAGTTTCATCTTGAATCTGATTTAAAGGGGGAAAATATCTAAATCACAAACCTGTGCCATAAAGCAAGGAAGCATAATCCTCAATATTTGTTCTAGTACTTGAGTGTCGGTTGATTCAATGGCTTGCACGGAAATTGGTCGAAATGCAAAAGGAATCTCAATGCTGACTTGGAATTCACATGACAACAAAAGAAATTTTGCAAAAAATAAAAACAACTTCCAAAATGAAATGTCGCAGCTAGAAGAGAAGCCAATTAGCAAGTACCTCAATAGTTGTATCTGAAGTGAGTTCATCCACCGAGGAGTCGCTCTGTTTCCTATTACATGATACTCTATTCAACATAGAAGCTGCATGCCCACACCAAATCAGTGTCAAAGCACTCCTGAAAAAAAGCATTTCATAATTCAACTCAGAACCAAAAAATTTAAGCTAAAAATAAAGTGCAACATTCCACTAAAATATGATTCCCCCTAAACAGAGTACATAATTTTGGGTAGTTTGGATTATTTGGAAATGTTATAAGTAAAAAGGTTACATGGCATTAATAAAACAGTACTATTTTATGATTCTGGATGTCAAATAAACTTCCCTTCAACATACTTTTTGCACCTATTCATTTTCATCACTAGGAAGCAGTTAGGCTGGCAAGCAAGCCTTTAAATGTTGCACAACATTCTTAAAATTTTGAGGAAATTATGAATCAGTTGGAAGACCAAAAAAAATTACAAAGTGTTGGAAAAGTTTATAATTTCAATTATTAAAGTTAGTAAACTTCATCATTGGTTTGAAATTTATTTTGGAAATATGGAAATCATGGTGTTGAATCGGAAATTGAGTGAATCGCAAGATCCAATTTACGATTCATTGCGATTCAATATGATTCACACGATTATCGGTTTTAAACTTTGCAGAAATCTTATTCAATAATTTATGATAAATAATAACTACACAAAACGAGAAAACTGGTGTGACAAAACTCAAAATATGACCAGCATTGGTTGCAGGAGTACATGTTATCCTTGCTGCAATAAATTCATCAAATTGTAAACTAGCTTGTAAGAAGTGAGGTCATGCATTGTCCTAATATTTAAAGCATAATTTACTATTTCATATCAATAAGAACCTTTTTGCCCCATTTTTCAAGAGGATATTTCAAACAAAACTATGTAATCAGCATACTTGAACATTAAAAAAAAAAATGATTCTAGCAATTATGGTGTTGTTCCCATCAGATCAGACTGAAGCAGATTAAACCCCACTACAAACAAAAATCCTATCAAAGTAGATCAAACATTACTGTCTAATCCAGTCATTGCTTATACAATCTAATTGTACCATTTTGCAGCAAACAAAGAGAATTTGAATGAACTTCTTACCATCAATCTTCTCATTCTGTGCAACCACAATTGGTGAACCTTCAAGCTACCATAAACAAAATGCAAGGGAAAAAAAACACAAAAACAAAAAAACAAAGTAATCATTAGGAGAAAAGGACACATAACATTGAAGTTTGAACACAAAAAACAGAGCAAAATCATTAACATTGCAGGACAAGAGCTTGATACAAAAACCATATGGTTCCTCTTCAACTCTAACCAACAAAACAGGGCACACTTCAAAAGCAAAGAACTTGAAATTGTATACGTAACACCTGAAGGTGCTATTGTCAACTCTGTCAATACTCCCTGCATCCAACACAGAGTACTGGCTCGCAGGCAAACTCATATACTCCACTGCAAAAAAAAAAAAACCGTTAAGATATTTTAATAAAAATAATATTATATTTCATATATTCAATTTGTCCCACATCTTAAAATACTTGGCACTAGTACTTGAGTGAGGAAAAAATACTAAAAAGCGTAAAATAGAAGAAGTGTTACTTCAACTTACTCTCCACTCACTAAATCTTATTCACTTAAACATAAAGAAATATTGCATGCATTTATAAATCTGATGATCACTATATATTTTTTAGATTATACCCTGAAAGCACTTTAAATTGTAACTTTGATTAGTTGCAGTTACTTTAGCACAAAAATGTGCTCCATAGGATAAGTTTCCATTATAAAAATATGATTTTCCTCAACACATACTGCCAATTTTGTCTTTGATAATTGTCTAGCCAAAGCATGTATGCAATAAGCTACATCCACTCGAGGCCTCGTAGATGAAATAGCAGCAAAAATAGCTGCAAGGGAAAACAAAAATTGCCCATCACAACCCATTTTAAGGCATATTAAAAATTGATAAGCATAAAACGGAACAAATATGAACAAAGGAGCAAGCCCATCAAAAAACAAAAAAACAAAAAACCATCTCGATCTCGATAGAAATTACCAACCTCTTATGTGTTTTTCTTTCGTTGGGCGCTCAACATGATTTGTACCCATGCTTCATAGTCTACTTGGTTGGTACAAGTATGGCATGTTTATCGAAATGCCCATGCTTCATGGTCTAAAGTATTGTAGTTTTCTTTTTATTTTTCTAGATGGATAAAGTATGTAGCACTACTTGGTTGTCTTTTAGGCGATATCTTGTAATCAATTTCATATACAGAAAAACAAAAGAAAAAAAATTAGCAGCTATTGTGAGTCTTAGAATTATGACAATGAAGTGGCTATTACAAAATGGGTCATGAAATAGTATGGAGTTGTTGGTATTATTATTATTTTATTTGGAAATTTTGTTGTTTCGATTTTTAATTAAATGGAAAGGAGGAAAAAAAAAAATAAAAAATAAAAAAACCTCAACTGAAATGAAATTTTTCTTAAGATTTTTGTTGTTGGATATCTTAAATTTTTGTGAGATGTTAGTATTTGGAATGTCGGATTTTATTGGATGTTTTATGCTTTTGATGGATATTTATTATTTGAAATGTTAAATGCATCATACTTTTGGGAATTATTGAGTTTTTTGTCTATGTTATTTATTTATTTTTTACAATTTCCTTAGTGTCCAGCTCGCTTCGATGAAGCCATCACTTTGCACTTCCTTAGGAGGTCTTGTTGTCTCAGTTCGCTTTTTCACCTTAAATAACAGTAAGGAAGAAATCTGTTACTATGTTCCCACAAATAATGACCATTGAATAAGGAATTAGTCATCTACAAGCTTAATTATGAATAATGTTTTATCAACTTCTCTAATTTAACCCCAAAAAAAAAGTAATTTTATTATAAAATTAAGAACAATACCTGTCTAGCATTAGACAATCCAATTGACAAGAGCTCATCCATAAGTGTTTCCCAAATAAGCTGACCCCTGAAGAATAGTTCTGTTCCATTCTATAGAGAAAAGATGAAGAGATGACATAATTAGTCAAATCTCTCTCTCTCTCTCACACACACACACATGCACACACACTACATGTAAAAAATAGAATTTGCATAATTCCTGACCAAGCTGAAAAACATCCGCTGGACTTGCCTTAAACTCACTTTCAGGGTGCCCGGCAAAAGATGCACCATCACAATAGCGTATCTTGACTTTGTTCCAGTTAAAGAAATCTGAAGATACCCAAAATGGTCCAATAAAAGTCCTTTGTTGATTAAATAAGAATAAGAGTGTAGATGCCTATCCAAATCCTAAAGCAAGCATTGATCATATCTAACTAACATGAAAAACAAGAATTCAAAGGCTTAAAAAATAAATACTGACAATTAAATACTTAACTCATAGGGGTGAACAACATCTTGTATCTATATGGTTATGGGGCCTAAGGATTAAAGGATATATGAAGTAGAAAGCCAGAAATTCTTCTATTATGTGGGCCCCAGCAAATGCTGTCATTTTGTGAGTTCTTAATTCAACAGTGGCAAAATGAAAGTCCAACCAGAATATGACATGTTCCAACAATAAACAAGATACTTGCCTTCATAAGAACCAGCTACAATGGTTAGGTTATTGCAGTTCAGGAAGAAACTATTGTTGGCCAATATCTGTCCATATGAAAGCAAAATTGATGATAAATTGCTGCAAACATCAGTAGGGGTATTCTTTGTCTTTTACTCTTCGCAAAATACTAAAATGAGACAGCAAAATACCAAGACTCATGCTAGTTTTTTATTTCACCTTCTTACAAATCTAGTGTGCTTAAGAAGGATAGGTTTTCAAATTTTCAGTTGCGCGGTATTCATAACATTTTCAGTGGTACATAAAATGAATAGGCCTTGCATGCATATGTACATAGATACAAATATGCATATGTAGATATATCCTCACAAGCATAGATGCTGCATATATAGATGTATGATTGCCAGCATTCATACATAGATGAGAAAAGCACACTTAACCATGATATACTGTTGTCACACTAGAACAATTGAAAACTATATCTGAATAAGTTCAGCACTTGTAAACATCAATGTGTAAGGATTCAAAATTTTCACAATTTTGTCTGAGAGAGAGAGAGAGAGGACTACAGGAATATGAAAATTTATTAACAAGGAAAAGAACACAAGGCATGCCAATTACAAAATTTTCAATAACAAGTCATGGGAATCTACTTAGCATGATTACCAAGATTTTGTGACAATTCTTGGCTCAAAATTCCAGAAAATCGAACTTGACCATCCATATATCTTGAAGAACCTAATTCAGTTCTCTTACAAGAAGAACACGATTTTCTGTGTACCTCCTCCCAACATTCTCTCTCTCAATTATATAATTCTACAAAATTGTCAACTTCATAAATACTACTAGCATTATGAGATGGATCTAAATCCCCCTCAAACAAAAACAAGCATCCTTCATAATTACTGCAAAGAAGTATTACACATCCCAATTTGATTTAAACTATTAACAAATCTGATATTTAAGCTTGCAATTGGAGTCAATTTTACGTAAATATTAGAGACCAAATGAAAATTATGAAAATAGATTCTTAGCTGATTTTGAATCTAAATACATCAACATGAAAAAAAAAAATACAAGAAATTCTCAACTATAACCAAAATTTGACACTTAAATCCCGATCAACCATCAATGTCTTCGTGTGCCTAATTGAACTTGGGTTTGAGTATGCATCAATACAGTAAAGTCATAAATATTAGTAAATCATTGATACCAGAGATGTTCTTCAGATGATAATAGTTGGAAGTTATAAAAGCAAAAAGATCAAAGTGAATGTGATTTTATTGAAAAGAGAGCAGACCAAAAATAGCAAGTGAAAAGATTAAAAAAAAAATTCCACTGCAGAGAGGCCAGATCGAAGATCTGATTGAGCAATAGAGAGAGAGAGAAAGAGAGAGAGAGAGAGAAGACCTGAGGGATGGTAGCGACGGGAGGGCCAGACCTGAGGAGGAGCTTCAACAGGTAGAGCGCATCCAACGCCATCGCGCTCGAGCTTTCTTGGAACAGCCTATCATTTCATCAGCTGGTTTCCTCTTGCTCCAACTCGATCAGTCTCAGTCCCTGTCTCGATCCCGATGATCTTGATCCTTCTTCACTCCTCGGTCTCATAACCCCGCAGATTTGTGCAACTTAACCGAACCATCTTCCTCTGCAAAATCATTAGAATCAGAATCAAGGAAAACAAAAAAAACCATCAACAAATTTCAATCAAATTGATGCAAGGATCGATGGATTTAGAATTAGATCTAAACAAGTGATCGGAATCAACCTTGGTGAACCTCTCAAGGGGCATGAGGAGGCAGAGAAAACCCTAGATGTAGGATGGAGAGAGAAAACGATACAGAGAAATAGAGAGAGAAAACAATATGACGGAAAGAGAAATGGAGACAAAGGAGACGGAGCACCGTTATAAGGTGCAACACGCGTGTCTTAACTTCACTTTAGGTCTTTCACAGCGTTTTTCAAAAAAATGTTGCCTAAAAAATGTGGTAATAGGCAAATTTTGTTGTAATGATGCTAAAGCGTAAAAGCTTACCTAGTACTCTGAGTCAAAAATGAAGTTAGTTAGTAATCAATGCATGATCCTAGCTATGTCAACAATGCCTAATACAACGCATGCAAAATGCAACTAAAGATAGGGTCGGCTATTCTAAGATGTCATGTGAATGCAACTTGATAACATATATTCAAATTGGTATTAAGATACAATGCAGTTTGTATGATGCGCCGAGCCGGTGCATGCAAGACAGAATGAATGGATGCACGTATGCAAGCATAAGTATGCTAATTGAGATATGCCCTAAAACTAACCATCGAAAGCGGTAGAGTAAAAGAGAGAAAGAAATGAGGGTTGGAAGACATGCATCACACACGTACACTTATTACAAAATTCGCCCTCTCGATGGAGGGTCCGAATAATAAGCTAAGCTAGCTAAGCTAAGCTAATTAACTGATCTAATTAAACAAATTAGACTAATTATTACAAAACAAAATTGATTAACTATTCCTAGTTAACTAATTATCACAAAATGAATCAATTAATTAAACGCATTAACTAATTAATTACAACACTTTTACAAATAAAATAACAGTTTACTCTAAGTTAACAGAAGCACTGAAATGGCCTCGTGACGAGGAATGCATGGATGCTCAGTCGGCTTCGCTCAAAAATCCACTACCGTGCCTCGTGTTTCCTCTGTTTGCACACTTCTGGACTTCTGAAAATTGTGCCAACTTCTAACATACTTCTGGCCCACCTTACGAACATGTTGAGGGGTGGTCGACCAAGAGGAATGGCCATCGGCCAAAGCAAAGAAAATGATCATCGGCTATTTCTGATGGCTGATCGGCAGACTTTGATGGCCGGTCGGCCACTGCTTCCTGCAAATTCTCCTTTTGCTGCAACAGAGCACTAACAGAGGGATGGCAGTGTATTTGCAAGAAAATGTGTGTGCAACCACACTCCTTATCATGTCTAAAGCTCAAAGGAGTATAGTGCTCGGCTCTCGAACCGTCAATCACGCATCTCGATGAACGATGGCCAAAGAGTCAAGCTTGCACAATGTTGATGAATGCACAAGTAACACACAAGACTCGAGAGGCCTCCACCCTATCATGCACAATCAAGGGGGACGGCGACCAAGAAATGTGACACATTTCATCACTTCAAGTATGTAACATCCCATATTTCTTGTGTTTGGATTAACAACCGATCCAAACACATGCAATGCAACTCAAACATGTTATCTTGGCATGTTTTACTTGGTTCAATTTTGTTTACTCATTTTAACTTACCAATTAATCCTTTAATTGATTTGTCCAAATGTAATTGTCCTCGAATGAAAAAGATGGTCTAAACCACAAGTATATTAAGCTGCACAATCAAGGGAGACGGCGACCAAGAAATGTGACACATTTCATCACTTCAAGTATGAAACATCCCATATTTCTTGTGTTTGGATTAACAACCGATCCAAACACATGCAATGCAACTCAAACATGTTATCTTGGCACGTTTTACTTGGTTCAATTTTGTTTACTCATTTTAACTTACCAATTAATCCTTTAATTGATTTGTCCAAATGTAATTGTCCTCGAATGAAAAAGATGGTCTAAACCACAAGTATATTAAGCATGAAAGAAGCCTCATGCTTTTGGTTAGTAGAAGCCCTCAAGAGAAGGCTAAAACCATTAAGCATGAGAGCCTCAACTCCATGCTCAAGCCAACAAAGGGCTAAAGACCTCTTTCAAAGCACATGAAAGAGTGAATTAATGGAGTGCAATGGCATATATTTCAGCACTGAAATGACATGGTGAATGACTCAAAATCATGCAAACAGCTCAAATAATGCATGTTTAAGGCAAAGGCATCAAAGCTAGTGAAGTGTATTACACTAGAGGCATGCAAGACAATGCTCAAATAGCCAAATCAGCTCTGGACAGAGCTTAATCGCATCAAAATAATGGCCTAAACATGTTGGAATTGAAGCTCAAAAGGCTAGACAAACATGCACACAAATTGGCTCACAGGCAAGGTTTAAGGCATAACTCTCAAGCATTTAAACAATGACAGATGTGATAGTGTGACAGTGGTACATGCTGTGAAATTATGTACCAAACGATGCCATATCATGCACACATCACAAATATAGCCTACTAGTGGTCTCAAAACTCAAGGCTAGTCAAGGCATTTCCACTATAGCTATACAAAACATGAGTCATATGACCACGGCAGCCCAAAATAGTCCTAAAATAGCCCAAATGGACTTCTAAAACCTGCTTGAAATAAGCTAAGAACAGCTAGAATGAAAGGCTAACACAATAGCACATTATAGGCAATTTAGCACAATTGCACTACAAGCATACGAAGCAAAGCTCGAGTGATCAAACCGGCTTAAAACAGAGCTAAAGCATGTTAAATAATGGCCAAAAACGTGCTGGAGTGGAGCCAAAACATGTTAGAGTTATGGGATAAAATAGCAAGCATACAAAGCTAGTAAGCAAGATTTGCATTACAAGTACATGAAGCATGCAAGAGGTGGCCAAACTAGCCAAAATCAGAATTATGGCATTCCAAAACAACACCAAAAATGGGCTGAGACTAAGCCAACACATGCTAGAATAACATGCCAACTCATTAGGCATGCAAGGCTAGCAAAGAGGATTTACACTACAAGTGCATGAAGCATGCAACAAATGATCAAACAAGCCAAAAAAAGAGTTATGGAAGGTCTAAGAAGTCACAAAAATGAGCCTAAACAAAGCCATAAAGAAGTAAAAACACATGCTCATTTGGTTGGCCATCAACACAAGCAAGCAAGACAAGAGGAGAGGGGACCACCCTCTCCTATTTGGGGCCTCAAAATAGGGTTTTTACCACTGAAAAACCTCTAAGTTTTAGTGGTAAAAAGGCCATGAAAAGTTGTTTTGAAAGTGGTGAGAAGTTGCACAAAAGGGCTCACAAGTCAAGGAACAAAAAATGAGAACAACCCCCTAACCAAATAAGGCACAAACCAACACTTTTAGGACTGAAAAACGGAGGAAAAATAGAGGTTTTTGTAGTTCAACACCACCCCAAAAACAGCCCCAAAGTAGTTGAAAACTATGGCAAAGCTAGTATGCAAAACAAGCTAAAAGGGGGGTGAGTGATTACCTTTGAAACACAGCAGCAAAACAGCCACTTTGTTGGCTTAAATGACCTTCCAACAGTCCGAAAATAAGTTCCAAGGGACCTCAGCCCATAGATATGCAACTTTGATGAAGGAAGTGTATGCAAATATGTAAGGAATTCTCACTTTCAAGCCTAAAACAAGAGGAGAGAGGGAGAATTCTAGAGAGAGGGGAGGATTTGCTCACAAAACTCCTAGAGAGAGAGGATTCTAGAGTGAGAAGCTCTCAAATTTCTCTAAGCCTTCAAAATGTTCGAACCCTTGAATATGAGATATAAGGCTCTCATATATAGCAAAATATCAAGCTTTGGTCGAAATATCTGATTTAGGATAGTTGGCACAATCTGGAAACAGCTGGAGGAGAAATATCTTCAAAAATTCTGAGTTTGGGTCACTCTTGGCTGACCAGCTATCTTTGGTGCCGATCTGCTACTTGTGATGGCCGATCGGCCATCTCCATGGCCGACTATGCACATTTGTGGCCGATAGGAAATTCTGCTCTGCAGGTTCAACTTCAAACAAGCATAACTCCTTCATATGGACTCCTTTTCAGGTCATTCTTGTGTCCAAATTGAATCCCCGGAAGTAAAATTTCCCATAGTGGAAACCTTGCATCAAAATTCCAACTGTAAAAAAAGTTATCCCTCTTTTAGTGAAGGCTTCTCAGTTTTGGTCCAACCAGAATGATGCCCAACTTCAACCAACCATATCTCCCCCATCTAGACTCGGGTTTAGGAGATTCTTGAGTGTAAAATGAAGCCCTGGAAGAATTCAATCCAATGGTGGAGGCCTCATAGCTTAAATCCAAGTATACAAATAGATGGGCCTGATTTAGCGAGGACCGCTTGACTCTCTCTTAGCGATTCATGCCCATCTTTTTCTCCAACTGGGTTTCTTCCCTTCACTCCTCTTTTCTCCAACTCCAAACCCCTAAACAAGGTGTTTTGAAAGATTTTTCAAAGATTTCATCTCTCTTTCATTCATTTCCACTTTGTCCTTGCTCGGTTTACCGAAAAGCACAACATTTAACAAAATGTGAGCGTCGAAACATTGTAGGAACTTTATTTCAAAAATATTTTCAAAGAGAGGGTTTTAAGGTCTAAAAACCACCCAAAATAGCTTTGGTCCAAAATAAGGTGTGAGGTTAGGATTTGACTCTCCTCTTGCCGAAGAAATCGAACCTTTGCACTGGACAATTTTGATCACCAAAGAAACAATCAATAATGCCCAAATCTTAAGGGCGGTAAAAAATGGGATGTCCACCGGCTGCGACCACGATCCTACCCGATATAATCCACAAAGAGGTTGAGGTGTACGTGGAGGACATGAATGTCAAGTCCAAGGAAAGTGTCACGACCCAAACCCGCCCCTTAAAGTTTGGTCCATGACCGGCCTGTACGTAAGCCTCAAAACAGAATTTTAGAATAATATTTAACCACATACGGGGCCTTAAGCGGAACCAAAATCAATAAAAGACAATATCCATTGAGCTTATGCATACATGATGGTTTAATTGGATTTAAGCATTTTAATACATTTCCAGAGTTACATATACATTCACAGAATTTATATAGATCTCACACCCACTTCCATAAAACTTAGTAGTTTATAAGACTCCCAACACAAATTAAGGCCTCAACATAGAGGCGTACCCCAGGCGGCTTGGCAGACAGGTAGACCTCAATACCATTCTAGTGTTAATCTCCGATGGCTCACCTACATAC